CAGAAGGCCCAGGTCTATAACAAGGCAATTATTTGGGTTTGGACAAGTGAGCATATTTCTCACACATGATAAGTTATCACTAGACCAATACATAAAAACACTGAAAACAAATCATTGAAGACATTCTTCATTAGCAAACAAAACAAAATAGAGCTGTAGCCTGATATGGTGGTACAAACCATGCTGGTAGGATCAAAAATTCTAGGCCAGCCTCAGCATCTTGGCCTCCAACTCTCTCAAAGTAAAACTTTAAAAGGGACAGAAAATGTAGTTCAGTTATAGTGCACCCCTGGGCTCAATCCCCAGTAAAACACAAACACACACAGTAAAGAGGAATAGAGGAATAAAAACAACATAAGAAAATAGAAGAATGTAAAAAGGCAGACATAAATTTTTTAATTACATCAACAGTAAAATGAAATGTGAAATTACTAAAGAATCCTATCCAAAGCTAAAGATCATCAGGCAGAATAAAAACAAGGTCCAATTCTATATTATCTACAGGAGTCACTGTCTGGATGCAAATATATAGTTTGAAAACAGAAGGATATGAATCATACACCATGCAAGCACACAGCATGATTAAGCTGTGCTATAGTACTTCTCCTAACATCAGGCAAACTGTTTCAAAACCAAAAAATTGCTGATAGATAACAGCTATGAGTCATGAAAACATGCGGTTAAGGTGTTACTGAATGTTTCATCCTCTGCCCCAATGCCAATCTAATAATAACATGACTTTGAGAGAAAATGTATTTAAAAAAATTTTTCTAGCAAAGGAACAGCACATGAGTTCCTGTCCCAGAGGCTGTGATTCTGATCATCAGAAGAAACAGGGGCCTTTTTTTGGCAAGGGGAATGCCTGGGACTGAACTCAGGGACATTCAACAACTTTGCCATATCTCCAGCCCTATTTTGCATTTTATTTAGAAACAGGGTCTCACTGAATTGCTTAGCCCCTCATCTTTGCTGAGGCTGGCTTTGAACTCTTGATTCTCCTGCCTCAGCCTCCTGAGTGGCTGAGATTATAGTCATCACCACCACACCTGGAACAAAGCAAAATATTTTACTAATAAAATAAAAAAGTCCTTAGTTTGAGTTCAATTAGAGTTTAGAATTAAATTATTCTAGAGTCCTGTAGACTCAAAAGCTGGCAGTGTCCACAGAATATTAGATGATCTGCCTTCATGGCCTCCCCTGGATATGGAAGCATCCTTTCACATTTTTACCAAGATGAATGATTCCAGGGTCAACTGAAAACACAAGCTGACTTTGGGACCGGAAATATGGCCTCATGTCTACACAGAAGAATGGGATGCCATGAGAACAATGGGTGGGGAAGCGATGACAGAATGGCAGACATGCCACATCTTAGTCCCATGAGAAGGTTGAGTTCTGGAGACTGCTTCTGCTTCTTTGGGGACAGGGTCCCAGGCCACCTAGGTTGCAGATGTAATCTGGGGCTCTACCCAGACCACTGCAAGACCCATTTCCGGGACAGTGACAATCCCAGACTGGTGTAAGTCCCCCACCCCCACATTTCATCAGCACCTGGGGCCCAGAAGAGGAAATGTGATGAGGAACTTGGTCCCAGGTATGCCCCAGATCTCCTTCCTGGCTGCTTGAGTGCATGCAGGTTGGGACTCTGGCCCTCTAGGAGAGTTTGAGTAGGAAGTTGAGACCCACAGAGGTGTGCGTTAGCCCTAGTGGGCGACCATATTTTCCACAGTCATTAGAGCCACAAAGGGCTTGGCGGGTAACGTTTGCCTGTCCTCTGGCAGCAAGGGAAGGCCCAACAGCCTAGAAACAAGAGTTCCTTTAGAGCGGAATTTGAAATGGAAAGAGAGGATTGAAAATCTTCTGTCCAACTCAGGTTCTATCCCTTCCATACTGGATGCATGATTAGACAAATACCCAGGGAAATCCTTTCAGCATCCTCTTTTGCCCAGGTTTAAAGTGAAAAGTAATGTGCCTAGGGGAGGATGCCTTGGTCTAGGTAAATCTGGGGTCACTGGTGGGCGGACACTGTGTCACACGCTGCAGACAAGAACAATACTGGGGCTATGGTTGTGGCTCAGTGGTAGAGCGCTAGCCTAGCACATGCGAGACCCTGGGTTCAATCCTCTGCACCACATAAAAATAAATAAAATAAAGATATTGTGTCCAACTACAACTAAAAAGTAAAATATTAAAAATAAAAAGAATAGTAGTAATGACAAGATTCTTCCCAGGGCTGTCTTATATCTTGGGCTAGGTCAGATGACCTGGTTGGCTTCAGTCCCATGCCTCCTGTTTTCCCAAACTAAATGATTTATGGCCCCTTTCACTTGTGTGGGTTGGATGCATGGGATGTTTTCCACATGACAGGCACACATGTGGGCACCAGCGAGTGGTAAGAGCAGGCGCACACTAGACAGTGGGGGCGAGGAGGCTGGCCTAGGGTTCTGAGGGAGGCCTCATGGAAACCAAGCCTTCCTTGAAGTCTCCTGGCCTTCACATCATAGCTCTGTAAGTGGAAGAACCCCCTCCTCACATAAGGTCAGTTGCACCCTCTTCCTCAGGAGCAGGATGCAGTTGTGGCCCACAGAGTTCCAATCAGCCCCCCAGCTCTGAGGAGACAGGCTGGCCAGTTTTCACCCAGCCTCCCGCTTGGATTCTAGGAAGGTTATGAAAACAGCTGATGTCCGTATCCCTCATTGCTGACAGCACTTCCCCAGTTCCTATTATTATGGTGAGGGAGAAAAGCATTTCGTTTTTATGATTAGTTAATGCTAGAGTTCAACATGGTATTAACTCTGTCATCTACAGCTTTGGTGTTGTTCTGTTACTGTTGTAGGGACAGATGAGACAAGGCACTGAAGATAGCAGGAAACAGTTTTATTTGGCTGCAACCAGGTTCAGAGGGCACAGCTTTTGCTGTAATCAATCAATCCCCTGAACCACGACCTCAGGTAGTTCCAGAATTTTATACCCAGTATGTAAGGAGAGGGACTCAGAAGTTCACAGTCTGCAGAAATTCACATAAAAGCAGCTTTTTTTCTTTTACTGTTTTGGGCAAGTTAACCCTTCAAGAACAACATCTGAGAAGGGGAGAGCTGCTTCTCCCCTTTCTTTCCTCCCCCTTCCAGCTGTTACCATGGAGTCCATTTGGTAACTTATGTTAAAAATATAGACATCTCTTTGATGCCCAGCTCAAGACCAGAGGCCTTGTTTGCACATTTCTACAAACTACTATACTGTATACATGGGTTTGTGAAAAACTAGTAAGGGGGTAACCAGCACCTGGAGTGCTGATTTCTTCCCATCCAGTGGCCATGGAAACAGGGCAACATGAAAATAGGAAGTTTATATACATTGAACTCTTTTGTAGAGACTTTTTCTGACAGACCTAAAATCAGCCATGGTGAAGATTTCTGGAGAAACTCTGTTAAGACTTTTCTGTGGAGAAAGGAGGTTCCACTTCATTACTTCACTTGCAGTGAAAGCATAAGCGAGATTCAGACTCCATCATTTCTCCTTGAATTAAGAAATACTGCAGGAGAAGTCATGTGAAGTGTGTGGGAAGGGTGCCCCCTGCCTGGCTCCTGCAGGATCACATGGCTGCAGAGCTTTGTGTCCAAGTTAGCCTTTGTGTCAGAGGAGCAGCAGGTGGAGACAGGCCACTGATTCCCCAGACTTGAGAAGTGCCAAGTATTTTCACAGAGCATATCAATAATCTTGGGTAAACAGGCAAGTTAAAATAACATTGTGGGGACCATGTCCTAATCCAGGACAGGGGCAGCCTTTTTGTGGAATCATCCCCATTATCAGAAACCAAAGGTTTACAACTGTCATTTTGAACATCATCCTCAGGAAACATGATAAAACACAGCAGCCATATTGAGGGTTTCACATACAAATCTCACTGCCTTGCTAACCCATGTCCAGAGGGCAGCAATAAATGAGTCACTTTCTGGGTAAACTACTTGACTCTTTTTCAAGTAAATGTACCTCTTCATCTTCACATCTTAGAGATCTCCATGGAGATACAGAGAAGCCATGGGTCCAGTCTCCCTTCACCTAGGGGTTAAGGCCAATGATTTGCTTTTATTTATGAGTGCGTTTCTCAGACCTGAACAATAGAGGCCAAGTAAGTATTGACACAAGACAACCCTGAGCCAAGGTTGAGGAGTGAGATTCAGCAAGGTATTGATCTATTTTCAAGACATGTCACTTCTAGAGGTCAATTTGAATTTAGACCTAGTTATAGTCCTGGAGGCAAAAGTGTGTGGTGAGGGTGGGTCCTAGGAGTATGAACATCTTCATGCTGAGCAACTGAGTCACAGAAGGTTTTTACTGTTTCCATAAGCAAAGCAGGATTAGTTCCCTCCAGCCAGGGTGAAGAAGCCAATGCCACAAAGGTGTGTATAGGGATTCCTCTGTTGTGGAAAAGGGTGGGGACTCAATGATTTCTGGCAAGATAAATTCATTATAATATGGAAGTTTAATAACCCCAGCCACTTCAGTCTCCTCCCATACATCACCATCCCAATTTGCAGGATCCCATCCTTTTCCAAGCTCTCACTTTAACTGCAGACACCTTCTGAGGCTGAGAGTTAAACATCCATGTAATTCAGCCAATTGCACAATTAGAGTTTGTGTTTGGTTTTCATCAAACTCAGCCCTTTGACTACAAGAGAGAAGAGTCTACTTCAGAACACACTTAGCAGCTTTCAGATCAATTATATGTGACGGCAGCTTAGAAACTAAATTTTTGAGCTCATCATTCTCCTTTGTCACTTTGTCCAATGAAACCAGAAGCCACCAACAAACATCATCATATTTCTTAGTTTTCCAGAATTGTTCAAAACTATCATGTACAGAGTAACTAAACATCATGCTTTTAAAAGTGGTGGATTGGTGGCATCAAATGTAGTTACTTTACAAATCTCTTTAAACAGTTCATACCATGAATTATCAGTGCTCTTTATAATACCAGTAGGAGAGTGTGGTGAGCCGCTTCTGCCGTTTCTGCAGATTATGGTCGCCATTACAAGATGACGCTGGCTCCGCTGTGGTCTGTGACAAACAACTCCTTATCTGGGAAAGTTGGCACATGATTTTTCACCACCCTGTGAGAAAGCTCCACGCGGCAGCTTTGCATTGGGGCTTGGGATGCTTTATTAAGGCTGGGAGGGGCATCAGAGAGGGAGAAGAAGAAATATCAAGGGCCTGAATAAACTGCTGAAAGAAGATTCCTGAGTTGCGTCTTCCTTGCGGGCAAGGGGTCACGACAAGTGGTGCCGAAACCCGGGAACCAGAACTTTCAGCAGTCAGGGGTGGTGCACCGGTTAGTCCCAGGTAAGTGGGATCCGCGATCAAAGCGGGGTTAGTCCCAGGTAAGTGGGATCCGCGATCAAAGCGGGGTTAGTCCCTAGTAAGTGGGATCCGCGACCAAAGCGGGACAGCTCCTCTGTAATGAAAGAGAGAGCCTTACATTTTATTGCAGCTGCACTGTGTACTTTCGCTTCTACTTTCGCTTTCTTTTTTTTGTGCTTCCTTTGTTGTTGTGTCATGGGTGCCGCATCTTCAAGTCCGCTTCTCCTGGCCCTAGATGGCCTGTTACGTTCCAAGGGACTGGAAGTGAAACATAGTACTTTACAGAGATTTTTACAGAAGATAGATATCGCTGCACCGTGGTTTGCATTTTCGGGCAGCCTTACTGTGCCTAGTTGGGATAAATTAGGCAAAGATCTTGACTTTGCTTCTGAGCAGGGCATATTAGAGGGTGGGGTGATACCCCTTTGGAAAATGGTCCGTGGTTGCCTTACAGATGGTAAATGCCAGGAAGCTGTGAGTGAGGGTCAAGCTATTCTTGAGCAACTGCATGAGGAAAAATCTGAAGGATCATGTAGTGGAGTGGCAGAGAGTATTAAAAGTAACAGTAGTGAGAAGGCAAAAGAGCCTGAAGATAAAAATAGGAGAAGGCTCTACCCAGACTTGACCGAATTAAAAACGCCTGAGAACACAAGCGACTCAGAGAGTTCTGAGGACCTTGATATATTGTTACAACAACTACATAAGATAAAAATGAAAAAGAAGAAAAAGGAGACACAGGGCACGCAGGCCTACTGTAAGAAGGGGAAGGGAGTTAACATTGGTCAACAAAACTCTGAGGAGGAGGAGGTAGAATATCTAGAAGAAGATATGGTGCCGATTGCCCCACCTCCGTATGTGGGGGGAGCCAAGGTTCCGGGAGATCTTTTCATGCACAAGTTTGGAGGACAGTTAATACAGATATGGGACTTGCATACCCTGTATTTCAGGACAATAACAGGGGAAGATATCATGAGCCTTTAGACTTTAAGATAATTAAAACCTTGGCAGAATCTGTCCGCACTTATGGCATAGATGCCGCTTTCACTCTCACTCAGGTGGAGGGACTTACTAGATTTTGCATGACTCCCTCAGATTGGGCTAGTCTAGTCCGCGCTTGTGTTTCCCCAGGGAAATATTAGGAGTCCAAAGTTGGCTGTTTAATGTTTCTGGCAGTACCAAGACTCGGAGCGAGGTAGGAGGCTTAAAATTTTTGCAAATAATTCACAATTGTTTAATGCTACATTACCCTCCGCAGCAGTCTGTCTCCAATCTCCGTTCCTGTTTCTTTTGGCTAATGTTACATCACAGGGGATGCTTAATTGTTCTAATATTACCTGTTATTTGTCTGAGTGTTGGAATGGCTCCTGGACTACGGCAATGGTTATGAAATTTCCAACCTTTGTCCCGATCCCGGTTACTGCAGATCCAGAGTCATTTCCTATTGTTGAACTGATTAGAGCCCGTAGAGATTTTGGAATTACGGCAGCCATAGTGACAGCTGTGGCGGTATCTGCTGCTGCAGCAGTTATAGCTGGAGTAGCCATAGCCAGCCAAATTCAAACTGCTGCCACTATTAATCAGGTTATTCAACAAACATCCACCATACTTGAATCTCAAAGTAGAATTAATCAACACATTTTATCTGGGATTCTGGCTGCTAATCAAAGGATAGATCTACTTCAAGCTCAAGTTGAGGAATTGTCTGATCTAGTACGTTTGGGTTGTGTTGATCAACGTGCACATTTATGTATAACCTCTGTCAGATTTAATAATTCCAGAAATGCCTCCCGCATCATCGGAGAGTATCTATCCGGAACCTGGTCCATGGCAGCGGAAGACATGATCCAGTCTCAACTAACCCAGATAGCTGTCTTGAACAGTACTCGTGTCGATCCCGTGACTTTGGGTCAGTTCACCGATTGGATATCTTCTGCTGTTTCCTTCTTCAAAGAGTGGGTGGGGGTAGGCATTTTTGGTGCAATGTGTTGCTTCGGTATGTTCCTCTGTTTGTGGTTTCTCTGTTGCCTTAAGGCCCGCAGTGCTCACGATAAGGCTATGATCATACAAGCTCTTGCAGCTTTAGAAAATGGCAACTCGCCTCAAGTCTGGCTTGCGCATCTTAAGCAGTAAACCTTTGTCATGGTCGTTACACCCCAAGTTATTATAACATTGCACTGGGATCGACATGACTTTCCTTGTTATTCTCTTAGTGTTGGAAAGCCCTTGCACTCTGCCGGTCTTACTGCCATTGCACGCAGATGGGTTTCCACACTAGTGCTTTTCTATCGCCTTGAAGTTCGTGCCTTTCTTTCAGGGTGCTGTCAACTTGTTTGTCATTATAAACAGCCACAGTTCAGCCTCAGCTATCCCCCTTCGTCCACCATCGTCACGATATAGGATGCGAGGCAAGGCACTGCACTTGAGTGATCCTTGACGTGGACCTCAAGGAGAGCATGTCCTATTGCATGCGGGTTAGACGCGTCCACGCCCCGCCCCACGAAAAAAGGCGTCGGCTGATATGGCTTCAGATCTGGGGAAGGCGCCTCCTTAGGACTGAGTCATACTATGCAGCCACTTCTGCACAGTGGGATAGGACCTCTACTCTCGCCTGTATTGTTTTAAGAAAACAGAAAAGGGGGAACTGTGGTGAGCCGCTTCTGCCGTTTCTGCAGATTATGGTCGCCATTACAAGATGACGCTGGCTCCGCTGTGGTCTGTGACAAACAACTCCTTATCTGGGAAAGTTGGCACATGATTTTTCACCACCCTGTGAGAAAGCTCCACGCGGCAGCTTTGCATTGGGGCTTGGGATGCTTTATTAAGGCTGGGAGGGGCATCAGAGAGGGAGAAGAAGAAATATCAAGGGCCTGAATAAACTGCTGAAAGAAGATTCCTGAGTTGCGTCTTCCTTGCGGGCAAGGGGTCGCGACAGGAGAGACTTTATTAATATTAGGTCTAACCAATTTAGACAGCCTCTCCAGAACCCACAAAACCAATTAAGAAAATTCATCCTTACAATACATCCAGTGCCAATTAATGTATTAGTCAGAATTCTCTAGAAGAACAGAATATGCAGGGAGTATAGTTATAACAGGAGGACTTATTAAGTTGGCTTTGCAACCAGAAGCTGGATAGTCCATTAGGGCTTTCTGCAGGCTGCAGAGCTGGAAAAACCAGAAGCTGTGCAGTCCAAGGGGCTGAGCCCTAGAACAGGAGGTACCAACAGTGTTAACCTAGTCTGAGAACAAAAACTTCTGGGGCATGGCTTTGGAAGAGTGAAAAAGGGATATTCTGATATCCTCAGAGATCAAAGCAGCAATCTAGAAAACATGCAAGAAAAATAGAGCTTGCATTTGCTGCTGCTTCCCTGTTCTTCCAGTTTTTATTCTACTGTCATGTATCACTAATTAAAACAAATAAAAAATTTGGGTTGTCTATGAATAACATTTCCTTAACATTAGGCGAAATACAGTTTAGTGGAATTTAGATTAGCTGACCCTAAGACTACTTGGTTAGCATCCCGGGTCTGCTGATTATTAGTAATATGACCTTGCATAAATTAATCTTTCTGTGCCTTTGTTGTTTCATCTATAAAATAGTGATAGTTTAACACTTACCTCTTAGGGTTACACCCAAATAAATGAATTAATAAGTATAAAATACTTACATAAAATGTATAAATACCAATAAAAATGGGCATAACTAGTAATAAAAATTTATCTAGATGAAGAATTTTACTTGTTTTTTTCCTCTTTTTTATTTCTTTACTTTTTCTCTGTTTTTGGTTATGAAAATCCCATTTTTGTTATTTTATTTACGTAATTAATACTAAAGAGAATAATTAAAAAAAAAAAAATATATATATATATATATATATATATATATATATATATAGAGAGAGAGAGAGAGAGAGAGAGAGATTTTTTTTTCCAAATCATGAATGTACCACAGTTAAGATACTTTCCTAGTTGAGCTGCACAGCAGCAGATTCATGCTCTGCCTGTACTTTCTGGAAACTGAACTACAGGTCAGGACAAGGAAATAAACATCCTCTCAAAGGTCCTTGTTCTTTCTCCTGCCTGAAATATAGAATTAGGCATGATAACAAAGAGAAGTGTTGGGTGGATCTTATGGGACACACAATGCCATCACAGGATTAGAACAATGCTTTGGATGGTGACCCCCTTTTAGGGCCAGCAGAGCAGCTTCCTTTTAGGAGGTGAACAGCACAGTTCTGGGAGAAGACCCTGGCTTACTCAGCTGCAGCACTGCCAGTGGGGAGGGAAGAGCAGAAACTAAAGGTGTGGAGGAGGCGAGGTCACTGAGGATGCAGACTCAAGCACACAGGGCACTTCTGCGCCCCACAGGCCATGTCTGTGGTGAACCTGAGTGCTGAGTTGGGGAGCTGGGAAAGCAGGATCCTGGCTTCCTCTGGGGCTGAGCCTGGTGCATAGTCCTAGGAATGCTCCTGCTGGGAGTCAGCAGGCAGGAAGGCTCCAGCTACCCTTTTCTGTGCCTGGTAAAGACTTTGTATTCCAAGACCACGTATGTGTCCAGGATGTGCTGAGATACAGAGAGAATTGCAGCAGGAATATTCAGATTTTAAAATCAGTTTCACAAAGGCTACAGATTTGAAGGAAAAAGAATTCATGAACAAAGACTAACAATTTCAATCGTATCTTTTTCTGTTACATTTCATATTTATTGTTTAGTTTTGGTGTTTTTTTCAAGGAAATTAAGGCAGAAGGTTTTAATGGAAACATTGAACCAAACTTCAAATGACTTTATTTTGTTGGGGTTGTTTCCTTCAAAGGCCTTCTTCTCTTGCTCCTGATCATCTCTGTGTTTGTTCTTGCCTGTTGAAGTCAGGGATGACTTCCCTCATCTTCTTGGACCCACAGCTCCACACCCCCATGTACTTTCTCTTCAGCCAGCTCTCCCACATGGACCTGATGTACATCTCTTCCACGGTCCCCAAAATGGTGTACAACTTCCTCTCTGGCCAGAAAAGCATCTCCTTCCTGGGCTATGGTGTGCAAAACTTCTTCTTCCTGACCATGGCGGGCTCAGAAGGTTTAATCCTGGCCTCCATGGCCTATGACTGCTTTGTGGCCATCTGCCACCCCCTCCACTACCCCATCCACATGAGTAAAAGGACTGGTGTGAAGATGATCATAGGAACTTGGATACTGGGCTCCATCAACTCCCTGGCACACACTGTCTATGCCCTTCATCTTCCTTACTGCAGGTCCAGGGTCATCAATCACTTCTACTGTGACATTCCAGCCATGTTGCCCCTAGCCTGTGTGGACATCTGGGTCTATGAGTACATGGTGTTTGTGAGAACAGTTGTGTTTCTCCTTGTCCCTTTCCTTGGGATCACTGCTTCTTATGGATGGGTTCTTTTTGCTGTCTTCCACATGCACTCAAAAGAGGGAAGAAAAAAAGGCCTTCACCACATGCTCCACACATTTAACTGTGGTGATGTTTTACTATGCTCCTTTTGTCCGTATTTATCTCTGTCCCAGGAGTCTCTGCTCCCCAGCAGAGGATAAGAACCTGGCTGTCTTCTACACTATCCTCACCCCCATGCTCAATCCCATCATCTACAGCCTGAGGAACAAGGAGGTCCTTGGGGGCCATGGGAAGAGTGTGTGGGATGTTCTGCCCCAGGAAGAAGTGAGCATGGCTGTTCCTGCTTCTCTGCATCACTTCTTTTCGTGCAAACTTCAGAGCAGTGCTAATAGAAGGATAATGCAAGCCACCTGTGCAAATTAAATTGTTTTTAGAGAGAGAGAGAGAGAGAAAGAGAGAATTTTTTTAATATTTATTTTTTTCATTTTCAGCAGACACAACATCTTTGTTTTGTATGTGGTGCTGAAGATCGAACCCGGGCCACATGCATACCAGGCAAGCGTGCTACCACTTGAGCCACATCCCCAGGCCACAAATTAAATTTTATAGTGACTCATTTAAAAGTAAAAGTAATTTAAATAATATGTTGGTTATTATATAGATCCACAATCATTAAGGATATTTATGTTAGGAAATATTATAATTATTCATGTTATGTTAGTAATGTGGATATTAATTATACATTATTTATATTTTA